CTTTCTCCACTATTATTAACATCAGTTTTGTCTGGGCAACATTTATCATTTGTCTTTTCTGATTTCTCATTTTCTCACTCTAGTGATCTGCCAGCTGTCTATTGTTAAATTCATCCCATCCTATCATTTTTGTTTAAAAATGATTTTTCCCTTAAATTCACAAGCACAATCAAATTGTCTTAGAGGCACAATAGACTTTTTCAGAATTTCTATTTATTCCCTTTTTTTTTTTCTTTTTAAAGTTTTTATTTATTTATTTGACAGAGATCACAAGTAGGCAGAGAGGCAGGCAGAGAGAGAGAGAGAGGAGGAAGCAGGCTCCCCGCCGAGCAGAGAGCCCGATGCGGGGCTCGATCCCAGGACCTTGAGATCATGACCTGAGCCAAAGGCAGAGGCTTAACCCACTGAGCCACCCAGGTGCCCCTATTTATTCCCTTTTAAGCAAGATCTGTATCTATGTCTTTCTGAGAGTTTTACATAATTTATTACTTCACTAATCCTAATATAATATAATAAGACTCATTTCAGTCTTATGTTTCTTACAGTAACTGAAACATCCTCTTCTCAAATCTAGTATTTTTTTTGTAAACCTCACTGAGTTTAGATTCTTACTTTATCACAACTTAGTTCAGCTTCATTTTCTCTCTCACATATTATGAAATTCTTTGTAAAACCTTTGACTTTCAATAGGTATGTTTTGCCAATTATCTTTTCCATTTCCTTAAATTTTATTCTTTCTCAAGTCTCAGTATAACAGATGTATTTCCCACAGCATTTGGTATATGTATTTTTAAGATTTATCTATTTATGTTAGAGAGAGAGAAAAAAAGAGAGTGCACACAAATGGCGGGAAGAGGCAGAGGAAGAGGGTGAGAGGAAGTCTTTAAGCAGACTCCCTGCAGAGTGCAGAGCCCAGTGTGGGTTCGATCTCAAGCCCTTGACATCATGACCTGAGCTGAAATCAAGAGTCAGACGCTCCGCTGGTTTATTTCTTTAAGGCTCTGATTGAATATTTAAGACATATGTGTTCAGAAATATTCTTTGTTTCTTAATTTCTTAAAAAGATGTCATTGCTTTTTTAAAATCACTTTTTCATAATTTAATATATTTTAAATTATTTTTATGGTTTATTTCAAACTAGTTTTAAACATGAATGCAATTTATTTTTATTGATAAGTTCTACTGTTTAAAAGGAACATTCTTCAGGGGAAAATGAGAAACTAATTCCAATAAGCAAATAATAATTAGAGATTTCTGAAATTTGTTATGAAAATCAGGACTAGGCTCTTCTGACATATTTATGTGGGTGAGACAACAGTCAACCTAAGTACCTTCCATTGTAATTTTCCCTCTGGTAGTTATTGACATTTTCTCATTATTCTTGAACATTATTACATTTAAGTGTGATTTATTTCTATTGCCACTTGGGGTATAAGTTCAACCTCAGAACTCAGATATTCAGTTCTGGAAAACTCTCATCTATTATCTCTTAAACAAGGACGTCTCTATCATTTCTTCTGGGTTCTCTTATTGATATAAGTAAAATTTTGTTCCTTGACAAAAATAAATAGCTAGGTAGATAGATAGGCAATTAGAAATATAAATAGATAGATAGGGTCTTAGTCTTTTTGCACTGCTATAATAAAAACCACAGACTGGATGATTTATAAGTAGCAGAAATTTATTTCTCATAGTTCTGTAGGCTGAGAAGTAAAAAATGAAGGTGGTAGCATGGTCATCTTCTGGTGAGAGCCCTCTTCCTGGTTCATAGCTAGTGTCTTCTCACTCTATCCTCACAGAGTGGAAAGGGTTAGGGGATCTTTGTGGAGTCTGTTTTATAAGGTACTAATCCCATTCATGAGGGTCCCAGCTTCATGAATTAATTGCCTTCCCATAGCCCCACCTCCTACTACCATCATTGCTGAGGGTTAGAATTTCAACATGTGAATTTTGGGAGCACACAAACATTCAGAGCAGAGTAGTTAGAGAGAGAGAGAGAGATCAGTATCGGATTTGTCTCTGGGCTGCATTCTACATCTTTTACATCACTTCGGTCTTCAACCGTATCCAGGCTAGAATTTGAATATTTTGTTCTTTTAATTTTTTTTAATTTCAATGACTATTTTTCTTTTAATTATCTTCCAGGTTTCTAAAAGTTTCTTTTGAATACATTTTTAAAAAATATTTTATTAATTTATTTGACAGAGAGAAAGATCACAAGTAGGTAGAGAGGCAGGTGGAGGGTGGGGTGGGGGAGAAGGCTCCCCGCTGAGCAGAGAGCCTGATGCAGGGCTCCATCCCAGGACCCTGAGATCATGACCCGAGCCGAAGACAGAGGCTTAACCCACTTAGCCACCCATGTGCCCCTCAAATACATTTTTTAAAAAAATTTATCTTTTAAATCCCTTACTCTTCAATAGATGTTACTTCTTCATTTATCTCTTAAAGTATAATTAACATACCAAATTTTGTCTGATTTTTTAAAAAGATTTTATTTATTTGTTCATTTGATAGAGAATGTGTGTGCATGCATGCAGGGTGAGGGTAAAGGGAGATGGAGAGGGAAAGAATCCTAAGCAGGCGTGTTGACAATGGAGCTCATAACTTAGGGCTCAATCCCATGACCCTGAGATCATGACCTGAGCCCAGATCAGGAGTCAGACACTTAATGAACTGAGCCACCCAAGTGCTCCTGTCTGATGGTTTTTAAAAATTAATTTTACCTGGAAATAATTCTTGATCCTATTATTGAGTATTGCCTGTCGCAGCCTTAGATTTCTTCATTTGTTTTGGAATTTTTTTGTGTACCCATTTTGAGTAGGAAGTATTTTCTTTCTTTTGCTATAGTTTTCTCACTATGAATGCCTTTCTTTTCTCTGTACTCACTCTTTTTTACCTAGTTCTTTTATGTTTGTTTTTACCTGACATCTTCAGCCTTCTAGACCAGGTTGGTCCTAAACTAGCATTTCTGGACTCCTGTCACAGATTTATGTTGTAGATATCATAGAGTTAGGTACCCAACCAGCAGATGGTTACTTCATTTTCTGATTGAGAGATTATGTCTGTATTCTTCAGCCGTTAAGCCAGAGACTTGGTTTTTGTTGTTGTTGGTTTTTTTATTTGTTTGTTTGTTTTTCAGCTTGTCTTTAGCATTTCTAAGTCACTGATTCTGGTTAGACAACTTTTGTGTATTTATTCTCTAGAAATAGTACTTGTGGCCATCATTCCTCTGTCTAGAACTAGGTTCTAGAACTAGGTTCTCTGCTTTATCCCTGCTTTCCACTTTGCATTTCTGGTCCATTTCTAGCCTGTGGACATACCCATTTCTGTTTTGAATACTAATTATTCTATTACATCTTACACATCCCATCCATCTTATACATAACCTGTATCGCCTCCTATGCAGACCACAGACATCGTTAAGTATATAGTGTTTACTAACTACTTAGTTTAAGTGATTTTGTATAGAGAAGAAAATCTGATTCCTAATCCTAAGGACATTGTAAATATCAGAATATGTCAATATATTTCTGTGCATGTATGTTTGAGTGTGTGTGTGAATACATATATTTTTCATACCTATTAGGGTCCTACTAAGTTTATTTGCCTATTTATGTGATTCTCCTTCTACTCTCAGTTTGGCCAAGTATATCCTGAATAGTATCCAAGAAATTTTACTCTATGCAAAAGGAAACAAAGAAAGAAAGGAGAAAGAAATTAGTTTCTCTTATTCCAGAATACAGAGAGAATCTGAAATTTTGAATAACAGTTTTTGACTCTGCTGCAAAAATTCTCCTAACATTTTCAACCGATTTTATTATTTGATTGTTTTTAACCTCTTACAAAACACAGATGGCCAGACTAACTCTATGTAAGAGCTTGAGGGGAAACTAACTGGCCCACTGATGTTTCTGTTCTCATGACAGTGTTTCCATGTGGAAGTTGGTAGCTCAGAATCCCGTTGAAAGCTGGCTGGATGCTAAGGCCTGTGCTGCTTGTCTCTTAAACTTTCTGGAGTTTGAAGTCATCAGTCCAACTTAGCAGGTCGTTCTTTAAAACCAGGAGGGTCTGTATTTTCCTTGGCCTCTTCCAGCAAATATTATAAGACCTTAATTCTCATTGTGGGCTAATTATTCTTTTCTATTTGCCTGAACCATAATTCAGTGGGATCTAGTCCTACTAAAGGAAATGAAGGCAGAAATTATATAATTGAGAGCAATGGCTTAAAAGCCATGAATGCCTAGAATCTTGTGTTAAGTCTGATGCATACTAGCTAGGTGGTCTCTATAGGCAATTCACTGGGGAAAAAAAAGAAGTTTTTTCCTCCACTTTCAAAGTGAGATCATCGTAAAGATTAAATATTTACTGACTGACAATAATGAGCTAGCTCCTTAAAAAATGAGACCTATAGCTAGTACCTAAACACTTTCCAATTAAAAATATGGTTTTAACTCCACTGGTTCTCCATTAGAGAAATTTCAATATATGTAAATTCATATGTAATAAAATGGAAATATTGTAAGGATTATTTTCTTTATGAATATATACTTTTAATTAACTGTGAACTAAATATTTTTAAAGGAATCGTGATGGACCTGACTGAAGAGAAACTATTGTCATTTGTGCTCAGTGCTTTTAATTATTAATATACTACAACCTTTAGAAAAAAAATTTTCATAAGAAACATGAAATCTCAACAGTACCAATTTGCAATTAAAGTTTTTCTTTATTGATGTTATCCAGACAGGATGAATGAAAGTTCTGAATGTTTATCCTTCTTAAGTAATGCTCGATGTTTAGACATCTGGTGTAGGTTTTATAATTAAATGAGGCTTAAGAGTTATGCTGATAGGATAATGCTGGCCTTTACAAATATCTGGTCCCTTTCTTGAGGTTGTCAGTTAAAAACAGTGATAAATTGTAGAAATTACTTACTAGCCATTTTTGAATAAGAAACAAAGTATAAAAACCATGTTAAAAAAATATTCTTTATATTTTAGGCCCTCCAGGGAAACGAGGTAAGAGGGGCCGAAGAGGAGAATCTGGTAAGTCTCTCTTTCAGCTGCTCCTTGTCATTAATGTTTCGGTTAGATTCCTGCATCTGTTCCTCCTAATTAATGATTATATTGTCTTTCTAAAGGTTGCGCATAAGCTTGTGTGTTTAAATCTCCTCCGCTAGACCTAGAATATTTTTCATCTTCTTCTTTCCATCAAACTGTAGTTAGAAGTTTGGAAAATATTGTTACTTTTTAATGTTTGATAACCACTGGGACCCAGTTTTGGGTTACTTACTGCATCAGGTGAAGTTTGGCCTTCCTGCTACAGTCGACGGTTTCTAGCTGCATGCAGTGTGGCCATACGCCCACGCCACTCTCCATAGAGAGCAAATGCAGGATCTGTATGAAAACATCTGCTTTGGGACACTGAGGCACATGTCTTGGAAAGCTTTATTGTTATTTTATCCAAGTGGTACAATTTTGTTATGCTTTTACTCTCATTCATTTCAAAATTTGGAATTTTTATTCCTCTTGTATAACCCTAGAATTTTCACGATGACAGCAGCCTCAGTAATCAGTCCAGCATTTTCATTTTGTAGTTGAGGAAATGGAGGCCCTGGAGCAGTCAGGTGATTCGGCCAAGGCCGTGCAATAGTTTATGAGCAAAATTTGAAATGGGACCAATTGACCTGGTGCCCATTTCAGTTGAGTTTTTGCTTTCAGGCCAAATCGCTGTACGTATCTTCCTCTTACCTTGCAAGGAAGAATTGATGGCCTGATAAGATTTCACATGGTCATTGACATTTTTGGTGTTTTAGACTTTATAAAAAAAGCAAGACAGTAAGTATACACTCATTGGGATATTTGGTTTCAAAAATATTCTTTTTATTTGAGTTTTTTTCTTCACTTTAAAAAAATGGAAGGTTTGATTCTAGTGTGCTAAGAAATACCATTTTCCACTATTTTTTAGTAAGTACTTATCAATGTTAAAAACAAGCAATTTCTAAGTGTTAAAATAGCAGAAACACTAACCTACCAAAAAAAGCAACAGATTGATTTGCTGTGGGTTGTTGTGTTTTTGTTTTTTGTTTTTTATTTTTTCTTTTTTTCTTGGTCTCATTTCCTTTTTCAGAAAAGAAAACAAAAGATGTCAAAGTAAAAGGGATTTATGAAAATTCAGTAATTTGGGCAGTATAGCTGCTTAATTCCTTTTAAGTGTTCTTAAAAGTTACCTTTAAACCTCATTTATTCTATATACTTGGATGCTTGTATAGGGATCCCTTTCACAATACAAAGTAATATATTAGAAGATGGTTTATAAATGTGTTTTAAGGAAAGAAATAATGAAATATTAGTGGAACAAAATAATCAGTGAATTGATCTTTGTCAAAGGAAATAAACAGGATTGGGGGGGAAGGTAAACCTTTCGTACTGATGTGAAGTTTTATAGAAAAATTAAAAAGTCAGTTCCTAACTTATTGACTACTAAAAACTTGTGTTTTAATTGAATATACAGTGTGGAAATATTGAAATTTTCTTAGACATTGCCTGTGTTTTGATGAGGATGTACAGTTTCAAAGAAACAAATATTAGAGTTTAGTGCTTTATATATTGGCAATTCTACTGAATGAAAAAATACTCTTAGAACAAATCATGGGTAAATTTCTCATTTAACCACTTTATCAAACTCAAGAAAGTTATATATCAATTCTCTCTAACTAGGCTATCATAAATGACCAAAGATCCTACTGATTCATATTTTATGTAAATTTTTAGGTATAAGTAGGACTTAAGTCTTAAGATGAGTCTTAAGATGAACCTCAGTAATTCATAGGCAGGTCTCAGGGAATCTGAACATCCATTGAAATTTCATGTAAAATTTGAAGTTCAGATAGATGTAAATACACTTTTCTGATGTGGCATCAAAGTTGTCCATGACCTAATAAAAAGATTAAAAATTACTGAATTCTAAATGACTTCTTCATCTTGTATTTTGCTGATGATTATGACAATGTTTTCATCTTGTGTTTAATCTTAATATTTTGTATCTTCACTAATTCGTCTTCCCCTTTCTCTTATTCTCTCCAACCCACTCCCACCCCACAGGTCCTCCCGTAAGTATATTTGCTGCATTTGGGCTTTTGTACATTAATTGGGATCAAGTACATTAAAACTTTGTTATGACATGAAAATATAGTCAATATTTCAATTAGAAAAATGTTACTGACCTTTGAAGAGTATTTAGTGTTGGGAAATTATTTTTTAAGTAAACTATTTTGCATATGTTCACGTGCAAAACATGTTTATTAAAAAAAAAACCTTATTTTTAATATGATCACAAACCAGTTACTCTCCTGGGAATTTTGGAATAACTTATGAAGCTCCTAATATTAAATACTTTTCCTGGAATTCTGAGGTTTCTCTTGAAGCAAATCCCCATGCTATTTCGCACTTCTTTTTTCATCTGTTTAAACTTGTATCTGAAATATTTGCATTTGCCAGTTCACCAAATGTAGATGGCAATATGATCATGGAAATGATATCCCCCGTGGGCTTGGTCTGGTACTCCCTCCTTAGGCAACACTCCCTTTGAAGTTTGTTGGAGTTTGCCTGCTTAAAGAACATGAGATGGAGTCCTTGGAGGGTTGCACTTTCTTTTTTCTTTCCTTGAGTAGGTCAAAGCTGTAGCATTCCAGACTGCTTTGCACTCACAGGAACAGATTATCTTGTCAGCTTTGAGCTAGATGTGTTTTTGAGTAATAATATCCTGGATATCTGTTGTTTGACCTCAGTGTTTGCATTGTCCACTGTACGTTTACAGTAGCAATGATCATTGGCCTTGAGATATTTGCTCATCCCGCATAGCCAGTTTGCTCCAGGGTTCAAAGACTCCACATTGGCAACGTATCTAACAGGCCAGCATGGTCTGGGGAGAGGGGCTTAGCGTATACTCATTTACTTTATTCAGAGGAAGCATTGGCTTCCAAATATCTTTTGCAGTCTTCCTGCCACGTTCAAGGTTGGAACATAAATCATGTTAGAAGTGACTTTGCTTCTGTAACTGACTTTCAGCTCCTGCTTAATGCTAGGCAGATGGCATGGCCCAGGTCTAGGAGCCTTAGTCTTTGGCTTCCTATGTAAGCCTCTGTCTTTAAAACTAGAAACAAACCATTACTACTGAGAGGAAACTCTAGAGATTATAGCCAGAATATAGTGTTCAAGGCTTTTTTTGTTGGATGTAAGTATTAGACATGCCAAGAGGTAGTTAAATCTTGCTTCTGCCATACGGTGACATTCTGGGTTCTAGTATTTCCTCTTTGGACCTTCAAAAGTTTTCAGCCGCCATACAGCCCCTCCCTTCTTGGGACTATCTAGTAGTCCAGGTTCTCCACTAAAGATTTAATTGTTCTTTCTTATTATATAGAAAAGAAAATCAAACTAATATGTTTAAGCATACCTGGGAGATATTGTGAGTTCAGTTCCAGACTACTGATAAACACAATAAAATGAGTCAAATGAAGTTCTTGGCTTCCTAGTGCATATAAAAGTTACGTTTACACTGTACTGTAGTCTCTTCAGTTGTGTAATAGCATTATGTCCAAAACAAAAACAAGGTACCTGCCTTAATTAAAAAATACTTTCTTGCTAAAAATGCTAACCATCATCTGATATTTCAGTGAGTCACAATAACTAATCACAGATCACCATAACAAATACAATAATAATTAAAAAGTTTGAAATATTGTGAAAATTGCCAAAATGTGACATGGAGACAAAAAGTGAGCAAATGCTATTAGACAAATGGTTTCTGTGGACTTATTTGATGCAGGATTGCTATAAACCTTCGATTTATAATAATAAAAAAAACCCTATAGTCCTGTGAAGCTCGATAATGCAAAATGTAATACACATGTCTGTATATGGCAAGTAATATTCTAGGCACTCCACACATATACTTTCATTTTATTTCACATAAATCCTGGTGTTACCATTCCTAATGCTCAATGAAGGCAAGACTCACAGAAGTTAATTATCAATGGTTGCACATTTAGAGAGGGTTTATAATTAGATGTGTCTGGTTTTAAACCCTTTCCACTTACCACATTATCCCTATCCCTTATGAGATATGAGTATGTTACAACATGGATCGCTGTCACACAAGTTTGTCAGGCTATGGTCAAATCATATTCCTTGAAATAAGTAATTATATGTATTAAAAACATGTCCAAGAAATGTAAAGGTATTGCTCTATAAAATGAGCACTCAGACTATCCCATCTTGATGGCATTTTGAAGAAGGTAAACTGTGTTTCAAAACTGCATGAAATCCAAGAAATAAGGTATAATTATAAGTTTTAACATTAGTTGAGTTTATAATTTATAATTTTAGTTATTCAATAAATATTTAAATCAATAATTTAATAATAAATGGGTTAATAATACTGACTAAAAGATAATTGATGTCACGTTTAGAAAGATGAAAAACCATTGATTGCAAAAAAGAGAAAAAGTATCTATTGATCATGCTCTCTTTACTCATAAAATGGAGTCTTCTAGTACTTGGGACCCCATATCATGGAAACACTTATGGGTGAAATGCCTTATAATGAAATCCTCTTGAGCCTTTAATTTCTAAACATTTATGATTTTCAAGAAGGATTAGTGTTTTATCAAATTTTACTTTAGAGTTATAAAATATTTCCATTATATTTCTTGCATCTGAATAAAAATAAATGAACAGTGACATCATTATGGCTAAATAGATTTACCAATGATATATTTATTGAGGTGTAATATCTAATTGTTGACAATTGTAATTTGAAGTGACCATACTCATCCTAGTTTTAGCAACATTTAATTGTATGTGTATTTTTTCTCTCGTTCCATTTCTTTTTCATGAACTGAAATCTGAAAGTTTCTGTATTTTTATTTTTAGAGGAATTTTTTCCCCTAATTTTGCATTTAAAAAATATATTTAACTGTCTTCACAAATAAGAAATTGGATGAAATATCAAAGCTTATGCTGCCATTTTAATGGCAATTGCCCTTCCTTCCATCCTTTAAATTCAGTGTAAAGCACAAGGTGGTCTGAGAATTTCAATAGTCTTGCTTTTGGTGAGGAATCCATGGCACAGAGCCTGTGCCAGACCCCTTGGCAACAGTAAATTCCTCGAGCTCCTTCTAGCCATGAGCTTCTGTGGTCCCATGGTTTCACATGTACAGAAAGATTATGAAGTGTAACCTGGTGTCTTGTTGTGTATTTTCTTGCCATTCATGTTCATTTGTTGTGAAATGTGCTCAGTAGGTACAAATCACCATTCACACACTTAGGAAACAAACAAATAAAAGATTGATTGGTCTGAAGGACAGAATCAGATCTCCTGCCACTAAGAGTCACCTTTTTCATTGCCCTTCTGAAGTAATACCCTGACGTAGAATTAAAAAAAAAATTAAAAAGCATAATGATAGAATTTAATGTAGCAACTTTCCATTTACACCTTCATTTGATGTATTTTGGAAAACTTAGGTACGTTACACTAGAATTATGTCTGGCCAAAGTGATTATTCTCTGTCAGTTTCTATGTCTTGCATATTGAGATCATTTATAATTTAAACCTTGAAATACAACTTGATTTTGATCCCACATATCAATTTACTCTTTAGGAAGGAGCTATTCAGCTTAAAACTCAGTTACCCTCTTTGACAAAAAGATATCACTATCATAAGAGTCTCTATTATAGAAGGCTCCAGTGGAGTTATCTTACGATAATGTAACTTACTTTTACATGGATATCAGGAACTTTTTTCTATTTTCTTTTTCATAAAGGTAACATGTATTCAAACATTGCTCAAAAGGAATCCACGAAAGTGCTTTGACTGCCTAGCTTGGGTATCATGAATATATTTGCTAGAAGGATTTGCCTGACCGTTGTGTTACCTGATTGCACACAGCATGAATTGTACCTTCTATTTTGGGTGTCTTAAAAATACATTCATGTGGGACGCCTGGGTGGCTCAGTTGGTTGGGCGGCTGCCTTCGGCTCAGGTCATGATCCCAGCGTCCTGGGATCGAGTCCCACATCGGGCTCCTTGCTCGGCGGGGAGCCTGCTTCTCCCTCTGCCTCTGCCTGCCTCTCTGTCTGCCTGTGCTTGCTCACTCTCTCTCTCTCTCTGTCTCTGACAAATAAATAAATAAAATCTTAAAAAAAAAAATACATTCATGTTTCAATAAGAAGCAAACAGTAAGATTAAAATTTACAAAGAGACTTCAAAAGTTTTCAAATGTAGCAAAATTTGCACTATTTTGGACCGTTTTTCGAGTCAGTGGAGGATGTGGTTTCTCTGTCCTTTTGTCCCCAAAGGAAGTGCTATTCTAATATTCATAGGTAGCAGATTCAATCGAGTCCTATAAGTGTAGCCAGAAAAGAGTCAGGAGACCTGTTTTAACTGGCTTTTTATTTGTATCAGTCTATCAAGCCGTATAATTGTGCTTGACTGACAGAAATATGATGTTATTGTTGGTAGCGTAGAACCCTCTGAGGTGTGAAATACGAGGCTCTCGTGCAGCCTGTTTTGTCCCATCTACCTTCAGCAATTGTCAACTCCATTTGAAGCCCAGAATCTTGTTGACAGATGAATGAAGCAGACTTAGCCAAGGTAAGCTTACAATGCTATTTCTGCCAATATGGTAGATGAATTAGGAAAAGAAATCTCTGAGGAAATTTCAGATGAAAAACTCTGATATCTTTACTTCATATTGAAAAAGCAATATGACTTTTAAGTCAATAGGAAATCTTTTCCAGATACACTAATAATTGCAGTTTGTGGTAAACTTCCATCGACATGTCACTTTACAGACCAATTTTCACACCAGCCTCATGATGTAGAGATTTATTATATCCATTTTACAGAATGAGAAACTGTGTGTTTGGCTGTTTAAGTAATTTTGATCAAGCACTCACATTTAGCAGGAAGCAAAACCAAAATTTGAACCCATGTCATCTCTATCTCTCTTAAGCCCATTTCTCCCATTCCCATATCTCTATAAGATGTTTTTCAGGCAAGTAAGGTTTAAGGTTTACCACTTTCTTTGCAAATACCTTCTTTGTTGTGTC